GTGCTCCCCATCCTATGAGGGATGCATCCATGATTATGGTCGCATCATGTGTGGCTGAAAGGAAAAGGTGTGTTCCAGGTACATCCAGTGAACAAGAGAAACCATGATCTTGGTGGGGATTGTTACCTTGATACTGTCTTTGTCTAGAAAGTAAACAGATCAGAGCCAGCCCTGTACATAATGGAGGTGAAATCTGGCAAATGGTATTATATAGGTAGATGAGGCCATATGGCTTAGTAGGGAAAGACAGACCTTGTCTGTGGTTCAAGGTCTGAGGATGATTTGTTCAATCAGGCTCTTCGATGCCTGGAATCCCTCCATAGGGAGGTAGGCCTTTGCAGAGGCTGAGTCTAGAGTTGCTCCTATGAAATCTGTTTTTTATGGGAGTCAGAGGAGACTTTTCTCTGTTTATACAGATTCCCATGGATGCCAGGAGAAGGTCAACCACACGACCTAATCTTTATGAAGACCCTGGGTGCTGTTACCAGGCCGAATGGAAGTACTCTGAACTGGTGGTGGTCTTGTCCTAACAGAAATTTGAAGAACCTTCTGTAGGACGGGTTAATGTCAACATGAAAGTAAGCATCTTTCAAGTCAAGAACCACAAATCATATGCACCTCTCCAGGAAATAGAATAACTGAAGCCAATACAACTGTAACCAAATGCACCCCTGTATATACACCCTATACACTACTATAGTAATCTTTGTACAAAATAGGCCTTGTAAGGTATCATATGAAAACTAATAACTCAGTGGTTAATAACATCATGGTGACATGTATGTAGCATCATTATATATAAAGTTATGAATTTCCCATGTATGATGATGATAGCACATGTTGAAACCCACATAGCCTTGACTAGGCATAAGTTGTTAAACAGGTCTATCCTAAACAAAGAAATGTGTTTACACCTCAACTTACATGTAAGTGGTAAACAGGGGCCCTTGGGACAGCAAGAGGGGTAAAGCAGTTTCTCAAAGATAAAGGACAAACTGATGCCTCTAGCCAGGTATCATCATCAGTTGACTGGCACTCACCAGTCAAGTGGCCTTTCTTTGACAATGAAGTAGGGCAGGAACAGATCAAACTGCATTTTAGCAAGCAAACGCCAAGGAACCTCTTTCACCATGAGACTTTGAGTCCATCCTTGCAGCTGGAAGGAATTTTATCTAGGGCTAACCTTCAGGAAGATGCATTTCAAAGGATGACTGCACTATAAAAGTGAGAGAAACATAACCTGGGGTGTGTTTGCCTTTCTCTCTCTTTCACCTAAGACAACAAAGGAACGAACAAGCCTTTTGACTTTGGAAGGGATCCTAACATGTAAATTTGGTTAGCAACATTGCTAACCAAAATGTAAGGATTTTACTTTGAAACAAGTTTAGTTTACGCTTCAGTAACTAGAACGCATTTTATCTTTTTCGCTTGTAACCATTTCTGACTTTAATACCTTGTACTTGTAGTCACTTATAATCTATCCCTCTGTAGTTAAATAAACTTGTTTTATTTTTTTAATTAAAACTAATCCATTGTTGTGTTTAAACTGAACTGTTTGGGGTAATTCCAGTTTAAAGTGTTGCATATTGACCCCTTAAATGTGGAATGGACCTATAATATCTGAACTGCCCAGGAGAAGGCTGGACAGTGTAGAACACAGATTTGGGGGGAAATTCGGGAGTGTGTTGGGGTTACCCTGAAGTAGGATGACCAAATGTCCCGATTTTAGGGTCTTTTTCCTATATAGGCTCCTATTACCCCCACCCCCTGTCCTGATTTTTCACATTTGCTATCTGGTCACCCTACCCTGAAGGTAGTAACCAAGGTTGGTGGAAGCCATAGTGTGGCTGGTGTGGTGCAGGTAGGCTGCTGGACCAGCTCTGTAGCTATACACAGACACTCAGGGTATGACCTGCATGCTGTTTGCAAGCAGTCCAGCTTGGGGGCTACAACTACAAAGCAGTATGAGGCACCCAAGGTTGCAGAGCAGGTGGTAACACAATGCCTTACTGGATTGGATCGCACCTGGAATGCAACAGTAACCGTGTGGAATTTTGATTTGTGCATAAAGATATTTAGCTGACAAAAGTCAAGAATGGGTCTCCATCTTCTTTTTCCTAGGAACTATGAAATAGGAGGAACAAACCCCTTTTTCTTGAAGTTGGGGTGGCACTTTCTCTATAGCCCCTTGCCAAAGGATAGAGTCCACCTCCTGAGGGAAGATTTCTTCATGAGAGTGGTCTTTGAAGAGGGGCTGTGAGAGGCACTTAATGTAACCAGAATAGACTATATCTGATATTCACCTGTCTGTTGTTGTTGTCCTCTAGTTGTGGGTGAAAAAGGCGAAGTGGCCACAAAAGATTTGGGAGACCGTACGAGATGCCATGCATGAGGGTTCTCAGGCATCCTGGCAAAAACTGGTTGGTGAGTGGGGTTGAGCAGCTGCAGTTGAGAGAGCTGCAAACCTAGTCTTTGTACCCTGTGGCATTTGGGCAGTGGTTCAGAAGAGCCCTGGTGGTAGAATGGCTGAGGAAGAGGTCTTGATTTATACACCTGTTTGTGATGTGTTCTCTTTGGAACTGGGGTATGAATGCCCAGAGAGCAGAGAATTGTCCTGGAGTCTTTTAGCACGTGTATCTACTCATCAGTCTTCTCACTGAAGCGATTAGACTTGTCAAAGGGCAAGGCCTCTATGGTACTCTAGACCT